TTGTTAAACCATTAAAACATTTATTTTTACTTTTAAAGTTAAACTTTTTGTCTTTCGTAAGCCAGTTTAGGTGGAAAAGCGCTACCCCCTTTACCCACACTCAACCCGATATGTTGCAACAGTACGAGGGTGTTTACTTATACATGATTTAAAGTGGTGTTCAGTGTAAAAAACTATTATTTAATAAAAGTGTTAAATATTTTGATAAGAATTTATTCTTGAAATATTAAAGGACTACGTAAGCAAAGCCGGCACGTTTTTAAAATAATAAGGGGAAAGGTTTTATATTATTTAACTAATAGAGCTAACTCTATACTTTACTATGCAATTTATAATTATTTAAATATAGAAAGAAATAGTTTATAAATTAAATTAATAATATTCTATAATATGTATAAATTAAATCGGAAAATTATAAAAAGTTTTGGAAGGAATAAATGGTCGCCTAAACTCAGTAAAGAAGAATTTAAAATGGTAAACACCTCGTTACTTAATAGCGCTGACGTGGACAGAGACAGTAATCAAAAATAGTTTATGTTTGTAAGCCATATATAGTTTATCGTAAATAATTATTAAAATTAGTAAAGAAAACCTATAGAAGTGCTCAGATTTAGTTTATTATTTAGTCAATAAAAAGCTCTTTAAATTTACTAACTTTCCATAGTGAATGAGGTAATAAAGGTACTTGTACCGCTTAAAGAAATATGCTTTTCAAAGATCAACAAATATACCAAGATACGGTCCTTAAAGAAACTACTTCCTAAGTGGTTAAACTCCACGTTGACGTTTAAAGATCCTACAAAACGAGAGAACGAAAACATTTAAGATGCTGACTACTTTCATGTTTTTGATAAATTAAAAGAGTAGACTTTATTCTATAACTGAAATTATCCCAAACAATTTGTATGAGTGAGGCCCGCCATCACAGACTTTGTGATTTTTTATATATCTACTTCATTTTTTTAAAAATTTTGTTCATACCCTTTTAAAAACTCTAATTATGTGGAAATATAGAAAGTAGTGCTGAGTTGGAGGACTGTTAATAAGTTGCCATAACCAGATTTTTTATTAATTTTTATAGTTAGGGTTTCTATAAAGTTAAGGTTTTAATTATTTAGTTAGTGGGCTATAAAAGAACTATAAAAAAAAAGTTGTCTAAAATTTTCGTAAATGATTACCATACCAATTTTTTAGTTTACAGAACAAAGTTATGAATAAATTATTATTTAAATCCTTAAGTTAGATAAAATAAAAAGTACTTGCAAATATATTAGAGTAATTATAAGTATTTAAAGGGAGGTAAAGTAGGAAAGTTTAAATTTGAGATTCCTTAGACTTATGCTAATTAATAATAAGCATGCAGAAAGTATTGAGTACAGCAAAAAAACAATATTATAAATATTCAGATATATTCATATATTTAACTGATCCAAAATTATAGTCTAAATATATTAATATCGAAAATGGCAACCCTAACAGTGCTTACCATTCACATCAATGGAATAACACATCCCAATAATTCTTCTTTATGGTCTTTCTGTCTAATATATGGTTCTTAAGTTTGGTATTAAACTGACATGACTTTAAATCTCTCTTTGGGGCTTTTATAAATTATATAAGTTAAATATTGTGTTTCTTTAATATAACTAATTAATTGTGGAATTCTGTAGTAGCTATGCTTCCTAAAATAATTCTATTGTAAAAAAAATATTACATAAGAATCATATGTGCCCCTTTCCCCCCTTTCCCAAAAAATTATGAACCTTATTATAAAATTTAAAATGGAGAAAAAGGCTACAAACTATCTATTTTCAGCAAATTATAAGTAATGAGTGATTACAATAAGGCATTAGAATCAAACTTCTAAAAATAGAACCCTCTAGGCCAAGTAAGACGAAAACAAGATTTGCACAGCAAACTAGTAGGAAGAATAATATATTATTGTATATACTGTTTTACAGATAACGTATCCTATTGTGTTCAACACTGAATGCAATAATAAATTGGTTCTTCACACTTTCACAATAAGCCCCAAACTTATTAAAAAAATAAATTAAAATCTTTAAAAGTCAAGAAAAGCTTTCTTACACTTAAATATTATCAATGCCTCTTTTCATTTAAGTTATAAATAGTAGAATTCGTACTAAAAAGAGAGTAAACTTTCTCAATCAAGTGACCAACAAAAATTCTATATATGTTACTCACAAGACCCAATTTGATTAGTTGGCACTGTTTTGTTAAAATTACATAATTGTTAAAAGGAAGATGATCTGTATACAAAAACATTCTCAAATAATGACTTAATTAACTTTTATTTAATAATTTATATAAACCAGTTTGTTCAAAAATATAAATTTTATTAAAACTTTACAACTTTTAATTTTTGCTCAAAATTCATAGTTTAATAAATTTACTATAGCTTCTACGCCTACGCTATAAACTCGAAAGGAATAAGAACAAACTACTTAAACTGTTTTACGTCTACATGCGTTAAAAAAAACTAAATTAATAGAAGACATACTAACCTAATATTACTCTTAATAGCGCTTAGTCTGGTTTTTTATGGGCTTTTATTGGCCTTAATTATCACTAATTTCCCTTGAAGCTTAAATAATTATAATACCGAGTATGCGTTTCTTAGCTATAAAGACTTTGAAGATGTATTCATTTATAGAGTCGTGACAGTATTTTAAAGTTTTATCCTTCCCTCTTTTGTCTGTATTTTATAAACTAACCAGTATCTTAGTTCTTTTTATAATGAAATTAATTTTTTTAAATTTTTTTACGAACAGCCTTCTTTATGAAAATCCGGTATGAAGCCACAGATTCCTTGCTTAGCGAAAAAAGAATTGTGGCGCATAAAATTATAGGAAGAAGAAACCGCTCATCTAATGGAAACTTATGTCTAAATTGGGCCGTTACTTAATAATATAAGCTTATCCTTATGAGGGAATGACAATAGGATCTATCGTACATTAAAACATTTAGTATAAACCTCTGGAATGCTGTATATGTATATAACTAAATTTTGATAAGATAAAACCTAACCAATGAAGTCTATGTTTAACGAACGTACTATAATTTTTGGTTCAACTATTAAGTCCTGTTCCTTGTTTACTGTTATGATAAGCGCCAAAATTAGAAAAATTTTATTTTTATAGTTTTTTCTGTTTATTATAGTAAAGAGGGAAGTTAAGTTTTGGTCAAGATACTTATTGAAGCCAGCATGCCTACAACTTAGATAATTTTGAAGTTTGATCTACTTAAAAGTATTGTTAAATTTATTATTAACAACTTTTTATGCTTAAAGTTATATTTATTCCTGAACTCAATGATTTAATTTAAAAAATATTGTGCCTTATAGAGGAAAGATTTTGAAAAAGAAAAAGCAACTTATATATGTAATATTTAAAAATTAACATTTTAAAAGGTCAGCTATAGAGTTTAAAGTTTAACTTAAGCTGATTCATTCCTTATACCTTAAGTAATTTAAGAAAAAGTTTATATATAAGATTCTGATTATATCCGTTAGATGGTTATTCTTTATGCTACAAGTAGTTTTTTGAAGGTAAGCTCTAATATCTAACAGACTACATAATTCGTAAATAAATAAGGGTGCATTGTTTATATGTCGCAAAGCACATGTATGACCAATAAAAGTTTTATACGGAGGCGTTTACTATTTAAATTTTAATTATTGTTAAAAAACTTACGCTAACAACTATTTTGATAATTTCATTTTTTTTCTACTATAACACAATGGTTGCAAGATTAAAAAAAAAAAATTAATCGCAGAGAAAATACCCAAAGGTATTATAACAAAATCCTATATTATGTATGCTAACTAAATATAAATCTGGAGTTGAAGCGTTTTTTTAGCATTTTATAAAGGAAAACCGTATGTTGACAGCATTTACTTAATATTGAAAATAAAAGTGCTAGACTTGAAGAAAATAGTTTAATTTGTTACCTAGACAAAAAGGAATAAAAATATATGACGTAATTAATTCTTATCCTTTATTTAGATTAAATCCCAAATGTAGTGCTTTGGTAGGCACTTCTTCCCTCTAACTATTTTATAACAGTTTTATATTTATTATCTTTTTGAAATATATTTGGGTATTAGAATAGTCAAGGAAAGGGGTACATATTTGAGCAGGAAATATAAACATTAACTGTTAAATAGTTAGAAAAATAGGAAAATACTTTGGTTTAATTTATAAAATTAGTTTTTTAGTCAACAAAAATAGAATTGTTACTGTGCATTTATCGCATTATTAATATTGTAGACCACCATAAACTAAAAGTAATAAATTTGGAGTTTTTTTTAACTTATGTTTACCAATAAAAAAAAACAGTTTTAGTTATGCAACTAGTAAACATTTTGCCACCGATAAATCTTACAAAGATTTTTTAAACTTTTACTTTAATAACTTTTATTCTAAGACATAATTCTAAAGAAGTCTATGTAAAATTACATTTGGGCCAAACTTTGTTTGTAAAGTTTATTTTTTAGACTTACTTTTAACACCAAATAAAAAAGTATTTTCGTTTCAAATTTTTTTAAATGCTATATAACCTTGTAGCTGTTGCTGTCATTTTTATATAAATAGAACTGAGATAAATCTTACTTTAAAAAAAGTAAAAAGTAATATTTAACTATACAACTTGTCAATTTTTTGTTTTTAATGACACCAATCTGACCATTAACCAATAAACTTTTTACAATCTTCCACTTCTTTTTTTTTGGAGATATAGTAATTATTAAACTCGTGGCGACCTATCACCGAGGCGTTTATTACCTTTTTGTTTTTATTTTTTTGGGGAAGTATGTTATTAAATTTTACCAAACTAGTGTTCATATAATAAGTTTTTTTTTTTATTTTTAATTTACCTATTGAATTCTCTATCAAAAGAATTACAAAAAAGTTAAGTATTAATTATTTTATCAATTTTTTCAAAAATTGTCATCTAAATTAATTTTCAATATTAACGTCTAGATGAATAATGAGGTTAACTCTTTACAACTGGGGAAGTTGAGCAGTCAACCTACGCAGATACCAGAACAGAATGATCTTAATTTAACTCACTTGAAAGGTCGTTGTCCTGAGGACTTCGACTTATTAAGTATAATAGGCGAAGGCTCTTATGCCACCGTTAGACTTTTTTTTTTAAAACCATGTTAATTTGAAAAATATATTTTTTATCTATTAACAGGTTTATTTAGGTAAATATAAAACAAGTGGTAAATTATATGCAGTAAAGGTGCTTGATAAGCGGCATATGGTTAGAGAGGGAAAAGCAAAGTATGCTGCAGTGGAAAAGGAGGCGTTACGCAAACTTTCACCCCACCCCTACATCGTTCGCTTATACTATACCTTTCAAGATACTTATAAACTTTGTAAAGTTTTTAGATTAAATAATTTAACCCCTGTTTATTTTGTAACTTGCTTTAGATTTTGTTCTGGGTTATGCTAAAAATGGAGAACTTCTTTATTACATTCGCAAAGTCTTTTCAATTTAAATTTAATTTTTGTGATTATTTTGGTCTTTTAACACGACCTAATCTGTCAGTTGGGATCTTTTGGGCTCGACTGCGTAAAATTTTATTCTGCAGAACTTATTTTAGGTACATAATAGAAAATTAATAGCAAAAAAATTTCATAATTAGGAATTTTATTATAGCAATGGAATATATGCATAGCAAGGGAATTGTTCATCGTGATATAAAACCTGAAAATTTATTGTTATGCGAGAATATGCACTTAATTTTAGCAGATTTCGGTACTGCTAAAATTATAAGTTTAGTCCAAGATGACAGCCCTTTAGGTTTTTGGTTCTTTAACTATTTTAAAAAATTTATTTTTTTAATTATTTTTTTTCTTAGTTTCAAATTTTAATTAAATATTTTTTTGCAATTTTAGGACGAGTCTCGTCTTTTGTAGGCACTGCAGACTATGTTTCACCAGAATTATTAAATTATAAGCGCACTTCAATTAGTTCGGACTTGTGGGCCTTGGGCTGCATTATATATCAAGTTTTTAGTTTTTTTATCAAATTTAATTTCACTTTAAAGGAATCTGCAGCAACAAGTTTATTAGTATTAATTGGGCTTTTGTTATTATAACGAAAACGGCGTTTTAAAATTATTTATTAAAATTTCGAAGAATATTTATAAATTTTTCAATTTATTTTTATAATAATTTTTCAAGTTTTTTTTATTTTTCATTTATGTTTCCTTGATAATAGTAATATTATAAAATTAGCTAATTGCTGGGTGGCCCCCTTTTCGTGGAGGAACAGATTATTTAACTTTCCAAAAAGTTTCGAATCTGGATTATACGATTCCTGATGGCTTTCCAGAAGAAGCGGCGGATCTCATTAAACAAATTTTAGTAATTAACTTCAAGCGAGGCTTTAATAAAGTCTTGATGTTTGATTGTAGTTATAAAGAATTTAGTCATCTTGAGGCATTACTAAAAATTTACCGGTGAAATTTTTTAATGTACTTTGTTGTGGCGCAGAAGCTGCTTGATTTTTAATTTATGTACAACCTCTACCTTTTTTAAAAAGATTATTGATATTAATTAATACTTACCGGCATTTGTTTTTAACTTTGCGAATTTATTTTTAAATAGGCATTAAATACAGCATTTAATTATTATGGGAAGTAAATTTAGTGTGCAGGATTAATTAGTTTATTTATAAATAAATTTCGATTTTGATTATAATCTGTAAATTTTAATTCTCGTCAAATCGATTTACTTTGAATTTAAATTATAATTAATAATTGATTTTACAGTTTTCTTTTGTGGTTTGTGTTTAGATTTACAAGCGATTTTATTTAATCTCGTATTGTATTATGTATAGATTCCTATTTGAGCATTTCTATTGAATTAAACTTTTCAGGTGCTTGATCCTCAACAGCGACTGGGAAGTAATTCGAGAGGCGGTTACGAAAATCTGAAGGGACACATTTTTTTTGAGGAAGTTTTATGGGAGCAGTTGCACGAGACGGTCATCGTTGGATTAAACTTTAAATATTTATATAGAAATTTAAAGTAGTACTTTAAGTTTTTAATTCATTACTACTTATGAGTTCTTTTCTGTGTACTATTGAAGTTGATTCCATTATCTAACGTGAACTTTGTTTTTACCTGTAGACGCCACCTGAGCTGAAACCATACTTGCCATTGGCGGACGGGCCACGTGGGCTGACTTCTGAGATGAATGTAGGCGGCGACGGGATCCTCGCGCACACCGCTAAGAATTCTTTAACTGCTTCTCTTACGAACGACACTAATGACTATCGCCACTACACAGAAGCAGAAGGTCCATCGTAAATATATTTTTAATGATATTAATAGTAATCGGCGCATATAATTTTCTATTATTAAACTTAAAAAATATGCGCCATAAAAAAAATTTTTAACTAAAAATTAATTTTATTTATATTTATAAAAAAAATAAAAATTACTAATTAAATTTCATTTATTTAAAATTTAAAGGAATTTTATTATTTATTATAATAGTAATATTTTAACAAAATAATATAAAAGAAATTTGCATTATCATAATCCAAATTACTTTATGTTATAAAAAATATTATTTTTTTTTAATTTATATATTAAATAATAATGAATTTTTTTAAGTATAAAATTTTATTTTAGTTATTAACTACTTTACATCTTAATATATACTATAAGAAATTTTCTTTTTTTTCATATTATTATTTTATTTATAAATAAAATAATAATAAAAGAAGTATAAGAAATTTGTATTTATGAATTATATTTTTACTTATTTACTATTTAAATTATTTTATGGCAAAAAAAATTTCTTTATAGTTTTATAAATTATAATAAATTGAAAATTCCATTTATAATTTATATTTTAACATTAATTAAATTTCAAATTATTTTATGTTTTAAGAAATTTTACTAACAAAATATTTATAGTAAAATTTTTATTTATAAAATTATATTTATATTATTTAAAATTCAATTACTTTTATGATCTATAAAATTTTAATTTTGCATTTATATTTTATTTTTTATGTATATCTTTTGAAAGTTGATATTATCTGAGGGGCATCCGCACTTTATTATTAGTTACAGGCGGTATGCACACCGCCGTTTGTTCAATATGCGGATCTTTAGATTTTTTTTCGCCTAAGAGGGTTGTGCTCTCAGCGGATTTATACCATCTTTTTTTTATTTTATTAAGCTTTTGATTAACGTTTAATTTATTATATAATAAAAAAAATTATTTAAATTTCTTATAAATTTTATATAAAACTAAATTTATTCTTCCTTTTCTAAAAATTTAAAAAAAATTAGTTATTAAAATTTTTTTAAAATTTAAATTTATTAATTTTTTGGGTGAATGGTTAAATGTTTAAAAGATTTTGAATTAATTATATTATCTTTTAACTTTTTTATATTTAAAAAAATATTAATAAAATATATTATACTACTTTTTTTCTCGAATATGTATTAATTAAATTGTATTTAAAATTTGTTTACTTTTAAAATATTTTAGTTTAATTTTTATTTCATTATGATTTTATATTCAAGAAGTTGTTTACTTTTTATAAAGAAAAAGAAAATTTATAATTTACATTTACTATTTTACAAAGCATAAAGATTTTAAGTTTAATTTTTTATAACTTAAAAAATATACTTTTTATAATAATTAGTACTATCTTAGATGCTACACTTTTTTAAGTGATATTAATCTGAATTAATCAACAACAAATTTGGTATTATAGTAAAATCGATTTTTACGTATTGTATTAAAATATTTTCTACTTTTAGCGTTTCTACTTGTTTTATAAATAAAAACAATGTAGTTACAATCCTTCAGGGATTGCCGTTTCGGTAAAATATTATTTAATTATATTTAATGCATTTTTTAAAATTTTTCAAAATTCCAGTAAATTATTACTATAAATATAAATATTTTATTACAAACTTACAAAAAAGTGATTTTTAGTTAATATTAGAAGTTTTGGTTGATAAAAAAAATTTAATTATACTTTTTTTAATGCTTTTAATTGAAAAACCCTCAAATTTATTATAGTTCTCTACAAAATTTCAAGGTGTAGTAAATTTAGTTGATAACGTTAATGACTTCTCTCCAACTTTACATTTTTATATATAAATTTATAGCTTTTTGGTTATAAGTAACTTTTAAAAAAATCTTCGTAAATATATTTTTTAAGTAAATAATTTATAGTATTATTTTACCTTTTAGGTCTAAAATAAAACTAATTTTGTTTTTTATATAATTTGAATCTACAACAATAATTTTTGTATCCATAATTAAGTTTAATAAAACTTTTATCTAAGTTATTTGTGATTTTTAAAATTGTATGAATAATTTTATTAATTTTTTTTTGTATTACCGCACTTTTGAAATTTTTTAGAGTCGAGCATCGTGCGACGGGCGCTCCTTCTGAAGCGGCAGTCGGAAATAAACACGTGGTCTCCGTATGTTCCTGAAGGCGAGCTGATTGTGTACACTTCCCCAGTCGTGAAGCGTCGCGGCTTTTTCTCGAAGTACCGCCAGTTGATCCTCACGGACGGTCGCTTTTGATTTATATAAATATAAAATCTTTACGTCAATTTTTAATGAGAAATTTAATTTACTGGTTTTACTGGAATAATTATTATTAGTAAATTTAATGATTTTACGAAAGTAATTATTTTCTTAAGCTTATTAAATTTATTAATAGATTATTTTCAAACGAATTTGGTAGTATTTTTTTAGTTAATCCAATTGTAACATTAAATTTATTTCAACGCTTTGGATTTAATTTTTTGAATTGAATTGGTTTTTATTATTTGTAATCTAATAAAGACTATAACAAAAAAATTTTATTCACTTTTTTGATTGAGTTTGTGTTTTTTTAATAACTATTTTTCTAAAATTTGAAATATTCATATATATTTATATTTTGTAAGAAGAATAATTTAATTTTTTTACTTCCTTCTAAAAACTTTTGTGTGAATTTTATTATTTACAAGCGTTTTTAAATTCGTTCCGTTTCAAAATCTTAATTTAGTTTTTTATATAAAAATTTATAAAATAGTTGTGTTCATTATGAAAAATTTAAAATATTATTGACAGCCATTGTAAATTTATTGTAATTTTTATTATAAGTTTTTAAAAGTTCATATAAATTTATTTTGTTGTAGAGATTTAAGGTTCATTTTTGTGAGATCCACTAATTATTAATTTATTAATGTATATTAATTCGCCAATGTTCATCAGCAGCTTCCTTATTAATTTTAGTAAATTTAGTCATTACAGAAACTTTTTTAAAGCTTACTTTAAATTTTTAACAGAACTTTTTTTCCTTATAAAAAACCTTTAAGCTTTTATTTATAAATTTAAAAATCTATTTAATAAGTTATTTAATAATGCTAAGTTTTGTTATAAGGATGTTTATAATAGCTTTTTTATGAAATTTATTTTAATTAATTGTCTTAAATTTTTTATTAAATTTTAGTAAATTATTGAATTAAACAAATTTATAGCCGAAGTTTTTACTTTAATTCATAAAGATTTATTTAATTTTATAATTTAGAAATATAAATTAATAACAAACTTCGGTAATTACTTTTACTGCACTGAATTTTCTTAATTATAGGATTCTTGTAGTATTTACTTATAATATTTAAAAATTCAAACTTTTTATAATATTTACTCTTAAAAAACTGTACATTTTACAGCTCCGCGACTCATCTTTGTGAATTTGGAGAAAAAATTAATTACTAATACACTTACGTGGTCGCAAGATCTCAAGCCCGAACTGAAAACTTTGAAGACTTTTTTTATTCACACTGTAAATTTATTTATATGAATCTAATTTTTTAAATTAGTTACTAAATTTTTTAATGTTATTAAAGATCTTTTTATGATTTAAAAAGTTTTTATACTTTCTCCTGTAGAGATTTTTATATATTTATATGTATTTTTTTGAAATTATAAATTTATCGCTAAAAATTATAAATTTGCTAATATTGTTGAGTTTAATTTGCTTAATTAAAAGTGAATTAAATATTATTTAGTTTTTTTTAAAAGTTTTAAAAAAATAAAATATTAAATTTTTCAATTTAATTTCAACTGTAGAATGTTTTGTAATTGAATTTTTATATTTTTAAATGCTTTATTCGATCTTTAGGTTTCTAATATTTACTTATTATTCATATATCTATGGACTTTTCTAATGTTTATTATTATTTTTCTATTTTTTAAAGTTCTTTTATTATTTATTTAACTTTATATTATTTTTAGTCATCAAACTTTTATGCTCCTTCTGTTTAGTAGATTTATTATTCCTTACTATTTGATTTAGATTAGATTAAAAAGCACATTTTCCTTTTTTCTATTTTGATTGTATTAAATTATTTTGCCGTTCATAATCATTTAGTATAATAGTTCTTTATAACTTATTACAAAATAAAAAAATTATAACGCACTTTATAACTTTTATTTTAAAGCAAATAATGGCGTGCAAACTTTTTTACTTAATTAATAAAATTGATTTCATTGTTGTAACTATTACTAGAATTTTTTGTAAAAATAGTAAATTTTTTTTTAAGTAATGAAAATTTAAAACTTTTGCTCATAAAATTTAGAAATTTTAGATTTCATTTGCGCGTTTATTATTTAAAGTTTTTTTTAACGTAGAAGTGAACATATTAAGTTTGCGTGTATAATCTTTTAACTTTTTAATGTTTATTTGTAATTTTAAGCGAAATCGGACATATTATTTGGAAGATCCTTCAGGAAACGCTAAAGTTTGGGTGGATTATTTAAATTCTTTTAGTAGACGAAAGACTATTGAAGTTGTTGGTTTGGAATTTTAAAAAAGTAATGAATGTTGGAATTCGAAAGCACTAATCTATATGATTCGACATGCCGATCATTTTTTTTTACTATTTATATTTTGGATTTATCAAGTAAAAGACAAAACTTGCTGGAAAAGTTATGTATAAATATTGTAGTCTTTGAAAATTTATATGCTAATGTTTAACATTGCTTGCATAAGAAGTAGTTTTCTGTAAGATTTTGGGAAAAGATAGTGTTATTGTATCAATATGCTTACTATTTGTATTAAAGCAGAATAAAAATAAAAAAGTTTATTATTTTATTTTTATTTAGACGGAAATTATAATGTTGCTAAAGTTATTATGCGATATTGAAGCGCTTTTGTTAAAATATAGGTTGAAAAAGATTTAACTTTGTGTGGGCTTAAACCTTTTCCCTTATTAGGGAGGTTTTGTTTTGTAAGTGGCTTTTGATGTAGCATGAGCCTGGTTTTCAAGGTTTAGGGTAAAATAGGAAGTAACTTGGGAACGCAGGCACTCGACTAGGCTGATCCCAGAAATGCTCTGTATTTATGACCTGCAGCTGCACTTCCATTATCTTGGACATAATGGCATATTCATTTAGAATTGTCGTCATGGCTTTAGCGGTAAAAAGCAAGCAACCCTCCTTTGTGCTCTTTGATGGTTTCGTATAAAACTTCGCCTCATTAATCTTAAAACGTAAGAAGGCTTTGGCCTGAAAGTTTATAGCCTGGTGGTATAACAGGTTAAATCGTTAAGCTATCATACTCGTTCCCATTAACAATAAAGGTTCTTGGGCTTGCTTTAACGATAAGGCAACACTACAGGATTCAGCCAAGAGGGCCTTAAGTCTAGCCTAGTTTTATAAACGAGTCTTGGCTTGATCTAGAGGATAGCATACGCTCTCGATATGGTGGCTTAACGTATCTAACCAGTTACGTGTAGCCTCAATGATGGGTTTCTCAGGACTTTGGTGTACAATTTCATATATCTCAACTTAGACCCGTTAGACTTTTACAACTGTTCAATTTCACTGTAAGATAAAAAGACATCTTTATGCCTCCTCTTCAATTTTTTCGGATAGTTGCCTTGGGTTACTTTTTCAGCTTCTATAAGCTTACTGAAGTAGGTTTTGTCATGGGATTGCCTTCTTAATTAGGCAGAAAGTATACTAAAAATTCTGTTTATAAGGGGAGGAGGCGCAACAATCTACCCGTTACCAAGTGCAAAAAGCGAGATGTGTTCTCGTAATAAGCCGCGCATGCACAAAAATGACCTACACTCCGCTACTTAGACATAAGACAAATAATGTATTTCAGCAGGCACCATAAGAAAACAGTTCTTGCGCCGACGACCGGAGACTAAAATTACTTAACTGCTTTTCTTAAATTGTGTCAATAGGCATTTGACCCACCAAGCGTACAAGAGTTTAAATAAGAATTTTGTTCCAGCGCACAAACTCTTTTATCTGCATATATATATATATATTTAAAAAGAAATTATTGGAAAGGCTTGTGGAAACTAAGTACTAATTGCGCAATGTATTTTGTACTATTAGCAAAACTAAGCAGTCCAAGCTGCGATCAAACCGGCGTTTGCATAAGTCTTAAAAATATAAAAAACCAACGATTTTGATGGAAACAATTAAAGAGAAGCAGCGTCAAGTTTATCACCTTTAAAAATTACAATTATTTTTTAATTTTCCATACGCATAGCTAACAATTAAACTCTAAACCAACGAAGATAAAATAAATGACTTCGTCCTATCATTTTATTTTTCATATTTCAGTATATAGCACTGCGCCCTACGGTAATTATAGCGTTTATCTGTATTTTCTTATTTAAATAAAGATGGGACACCTATGCTGACCAGCGGATTCCCTTGAAAGAGTTATAACATCTGTTGCGATGGACCGAAGACAATTAAACTGGCGTGAGCCCCTAAATTTGTTTCGCCTTCCGAAGTCGAAAGAAGCTATGCACAAAAGCTTACCAGCGCATATTCTTATGATGGAAAAACATTGCAAATTCCGAGAAACTATAAGCTTTCGGAGATTTATCGAGTATTTTTTGGGCCCCGCCCTTTGGCCTAAAGATAAACCAGCACCTGGATTGATGATCCCGATAGCTAAACCCGAGGCCTTTCAGAACACAACAACCATGCTAGCCTGACCTTCCCGACCTCTCCAACTATCTACCCACTACCCGAGGGAGAAAAACTTAGACAAAAAGAAGTGGGTAAAAAAAAATGGCTTATATTTATTATATAATAATAAACACTGTTTGACCAATAATTAATTAAGTTCAAAAACCCTTTAGAGAATGATAGCTTATTCGTTAAAAAAGTAACCTAATATCCACACTATCATTTTCACAATGATAGTAATTATGTTAAACCGGACGTAAAAAGCCATGCGCGAGTAATATTAATATTATGGAATTAAGTTATGCCAACAAAAACTTTATCTTATATAAAGTTAAGGGTTGAAAATTATCGATACATAAGTAATACACTTTTAAGTATAGCCGTTGTTTGATGTCTATTAGGTTCACCCTAATAATTCTTAAGTAGATCTTAATCATAAAAAATTTACTCTTACACGGCAAGGAACAAGAAAATTTATAGTTAATAAAGTCAATAGTTGATTTTTTTATAGAATGCAAAAGAAAGTATAAAAAAACAATTTCTTGGTAGAGGTTGGTTATGGAAAGAAAAAGATTATATAAATTGATCATATAATACTTATAAGGTAACAAACTTACATACTCTATAGAAAGTTCAAGCGCATTAGCCTAGAAATATTTAAGACCTAAAGCGTCATTTCGGTTTGTGCTTTCAGGCTATCGTTAATACCTATTATCAATGAACAACTTGCTGATGAGTGCTGTTAGAGTTAAGCATAGGACAATTCTACAATAATGCTCATAGACAAGGACATTTCGTTCATTTTGCATTGCTTTAATTCTTGGAATAAGGTTATATTATTTATGCGCTATGCATTGATGACTGAAGAGATAATATTTAAGGAAAAAATCAAAGTTGCCTTTGGAGTTTTCCTTGAGCGAGTGGACACTGATAAGTTGAACGAAATTTTGGAAGCACTTGAGTATATTTCTTCCGTTATAGTAGCAAATGCTAGATCTTTATGCTTTTGGGCTAATCTTTTTAGATCCAAAAAAAACATAAAATCTGTTAAACTTTTAGCTCAAAAACTTCCTTGCCACATTCTTATCAATATATTTTACAAATGTGACGTTTTCACTCTTTTATCGTTGTCTTGCGTGAATAAGAAGTGGAGGTTTTACAATACTTCCTTGGAGTGAGTTTGGTATATAAATTTTAATAATAAGTAGAAAACTATTAGAGGATCCGTTACTTTGGAGATTCATTTGGCTGAGAGATGTCAATAAACCTTTTGTACTGTTACAATCATACTTACATTCCTGATACCCTTATACATAAATAACTGGCTTTTAAATGCTAAAAAAAATTAAATTTAAATTTTCTTTAAGTTATTATTAATCTGCTGTTTATAAATACCAAGTTCCTTAAAAAAAGTTATTTTGAGGAGAAATGGAAATCGCTCTGCCTCCAACACTTAAAAATTGAGAAAAATTGGATCAGAGGGGAATATGGAATTAAAACATTATTTGGTCACACTAACTGGTCTCGTCTTCGAATTTAACTATTAACAGAACTTTGATTATTTATTTTTACTTAGTTTTATGTAAAAACACTTTAAAAACTATTTACCTAACATTTGGTTAAAATCTTTATGCAATAAAAACGAATTGAATTTCTATATATATAGAGTATACTTTTTTTAATAATTATAATATTATCTAATTTACTTCTTCTTTCCAACGTATTTTTTATCTTACTTATTAAGCACATTTCTCCTTAATAAAAAGGAATTGTTTTTATTGATTTCGAAGTTACATATACTCTAACACAACTTATATATACATACATCTGTTGCATTTTAGCTTTTGCTAACAGTTGAACGAATAATACTAATTAACCAAGGAATTAAATAGCCAACTCCTCAGTCTTCTTTATTATTAATAAGCTTTATATATGATTTCAGCTGAGCTGCCTACCGAATTTATTTAGGGAATAGTTCCTTTTTTTATATATAAAAGAAAATTTATATTATTTTAAATTTTGGTAAACCAATTCTCGTTACAGTTCATCTAAATTAAATTCTGCCAGATAAATTTTCTTTTTAAAAGGTTTGTTAAAACTTAAGCTTTCTAATTGTTTAATAAATACTTAATTTTGCAGTATATAAAAATAATTTACGTTTTTATTAAATCAACTTCAGTGTAACTTGTATTCAGTTTGACGACGAACTAATAGTAGCTGGAGGTGAAGATTCAGGAATTAATATTTGGGAGTAAATTTCTAAATTTTTTAATTTTTTATTATATGTATAACTACAGTAATATATTTTTTTAAATTAATAAATTTCTAAGTTTTGAAACCTATGAAAAAATCTCAAATTTGAGTGAACAGGAACGAATGATAACTTGTTTAAAAGTATTCCTGATTTAAAAAAGACAGTTTTTTATGATTTTCAATAAAATTTTTAGCAAAAAACAACTTTTTAATTTGATTCTATATTTTTTAGTTTTCCCTTAATTATACTAATATTTATAACGAACTTATTTAAAATTATGTAAACTTTTTTCCATTACCTTTTCTTTTAAAAAATTGCTATAAAGTTATTAACTGATTTTTCTTAAGTTTTAGTTAATACTCACCACTTTCAATTCTTTTAATTTATTAATAATTTTCATTAACTTTAATTTTTTTTACAAAACTTTTATTTTTAGTGGTATACGAGCAGTACTATGACAAACTTTTAAAATAGTTTTTAGTTTATTACAAAAACTTGTTATATTTTTTATTAAATTTTATTTAGAATTATTGTTTTTCTGCATAGTTTTAGTGCTTTTCATTATTTACTTTTAGAAAAATTATTTTTGTGCGGAACGCACATAATTATGTTAAAAGAAGTTTTTTTTCCAACAGAGAATCTGATATATAATACAAGCAACTTAACGACTATCCTAATTATTTACGTAGCTCACTAAAAATAAACTTTTCTCTGGAACTTGGGACGGTGCGCTCACGGTCTGGAAGCGTTTTATTAGGGGACGCTTTCAGCGCTTATTTTCAGTGACTGATCCTTACTCACTCACAAGTATATAATGAATAATATTAATAATTATAATACTAATAATATTAATATTAATAATAATAATACTTTCAGGTGTACTTTGTCTTGCTTACAATAACGGCAAATATTGTTTGACTGGTAAAATATCTTTTTTAAGTTTTATTGGCTCATTATTCTATCAACTATTAGTGCTATTTTATTAATTTTTATTGGAGTACTATTTTCCAAAGCCAGAGTAGAGAGTTCTTATTATTTTTGGAGAAAAAAAATTACTTTTCATTAGTACTTTCTCATTTTATTTAATTTCATTGGCACATTTGAAAATAATAAACAACTTTTTATTATATTTTGTGTAATTTATCAACTTTTCTATGAGGATCTCTTGACAACGTCATTCGCATATATGATATAACGAGCGGTCAGGTTTCTTTTCTTTCGACCTAATAATAATAATACATTGCTTATATGCGGAAGTTATAAAATTCTTTTTATTACAGTAATAATTATAAAAGATGTTATTTTAAATTTGTAATTATAAATAACAATGGAAGGAGCGGTACAAGTTGCGAGGGCACGAAAACAGCGTTCTTTCGTTGCAATTCGACAAAGAAAAAATAGTGAGCGCCAGCGAAGATCGCACTTTAAAAGTTTGGGACGCCCGTTCTCTCCGTTGGTTGCTAAATTCATTATAATTATTGCTCTTCAAAATCCAATCGTCGATTGAATATAATTATCTTTGATATATATTTTTTTTGATTCTTTATTAATCCTTTTTTATAATATTTATTTCTATTTATTATTGCTATTATTTAGTATTTATACGCTTGTTGGCCATAAAAGTGCTGTTACTTGTTTACAATTTAAAGATAATATTCTTGTTTCTGGCAGTTGCGACAGGTTTCTGTAGTTTTCTTTTTTATCTACTTTTTATTAATAAAAACTCGTTATTTTCTTATTTTTTTATTTTCAATTATCTTTTACTTATTATTACTAAATGAAAACTTTCCGTAAATTCCTTTTCTTTCTGCAAGCACTGCTATAATTTGGGACATGCGCTCCGGCAAAGTATTAAAGCTTTTAAAAGGAGGTGAAGGTATTGGCTTGTCATTATTAATAATACTAAAAATAAATTTTTTTCCTACAAGTATTTTTATTAGTACTAATGTGCATTTCCCTTTATACCCCTTATAACTATATATTATTTATTAGGCCTTTTTTAATATTTTATATAAATGCATAAAACTCTTTTTTACTATATTAAAAGTACTTTTAAAATAATAATAATAAACTTTTAAGTTTCAACGAAATCTTAAAAGTTTTATTCGTATTTATAAGGAGCTATTCACTGCCTTCAGTTTGAGAAGTCAAAGCTCATAACCGGCGCGGGAAACGATACACTAAAAGTCATTATTATTATTTACTATTATTATTATTATTACTTTTATTTCTTGTAAAGTTATGGGATCTTTACAGCGGAAAATGTTTGCATACTTTTATAGAGCATAAATCTTCTGTGAATTGTCTTCAATTTAACGAGCGTTTCATAGTCAGGTAAGTTACTTATTATTTTATTATTATTATTATTATTAAATTATAATAGTGGATCTGGTGATGGCACTATCAGTGTTATGGACTTTGGAGAATATTCCTCCGGTTTTTAAAATTTGTTATACAAATGTCCCTTTTCATTGATATTATATTGAAAGGAGTTATAAGAAAGAGAGCAAAGACTTTACAAGGAGCTTTTTCTTTAGCTGTAATCCCCAATCCCGATAATAAAATTCCTTAAAAAAATAATTTTTTTAGAATTTATTATTT